CCGGCAGGACCTTGGGTGAAAATGGAAAATGCCATTTTCCAAAAGTAGCATTCCAGATCCCACTGCTGTCTTTCCTTCCCTTCTAAAGGAAGATGGAATCTACATCTCAACCAGGGGAGGATCTAGGATTCTAGATCAAAAGCTTAGCACTGAGGGCGAAGATGAGACTGTAATGAGACTTTGTGGTTAATCCAGTTCTAATGTAAAATATGACAGATTTCTGGATTAAGGAAATTTCTAGTAAACTACATTCTATCACACAGAACAATCCTCCTCCATAACATGGGATTAAATAAATGTACCTTCAAGTCTTTAACTGTGTTTATTCCTCTCTTCATCAACAACAAACTCTGTGGATTTGGTGACGTTTGATCTTTATTTGCCAAAATTATGAGAGGGAAACCAACTATTTTAGCCACTGGATGTCATGATGGCTTACTGAATTAACCCACATGCAGAACACACCACGGAAACGGGAGTAAAAGTTCAAACAGTTTATTAAGATGTTAACACAAGTAAATCATTGGAAACAGGTTCTGGTCTGGGACAGACTTCACGAGGGTTCTCTGTAGAGAAGGTATTGTTAGGTTAGCCAGGGGGTCTGGGGAAATCTTGACAGAGTCTGATTCAGTGTTGTACCTGAAGGTAATTAGACAGACAAACGGCTCAGGGCTGGCTCAGGGGTCTTTAGACGGCTCAGAACTGGCTCAGGGGTCTCTAGATGGCTCAGAGTCGATTCAGGGGTCTCTAGACGGCTCAGAGCGGGCTTACGGCGACGCCGTCTCTTACGTCGGGGGGTCTTAGTGGCTAAATTCACAGGTTCGCTGACTGATTGTGATAAAAGGCTAACTGGTGTGCTAAAGGGTTCAGGCGCTAAGTGAACTGGTTTATGATTGGATTCTGATGCTAGGGAAACAGGCGTGGGGTCAGGTTTAGAAACAAATGACTCTGAAATGCTACTGATGGCAATGAGGTGGCATGAAAGGGAAGATATCTTCTCTATCCCCATAAAAGAAATTCCAGAGGTCAGACTCCTGGATGTGGGGAGCTCTGGCTGTCGGAGGTTCTGAAACGGGGTCTGGCTGGCGGGGAGCTGAATTCTGGTGGCATGAAGGGAAAGAGATCCTCTCTATCCCCATAGAAAAAACTCCAAAGATCTGTCTCTTGGATAAGTGGAGCTCTTTTTGTTTGAGGAGTTAAACGTGGTTCTATTTTAAGTTTTCTGACGGATGGTTCTACGTGATGATCGTGTATGTGGTGGCTGAAACGGACTGAACTGGACTGAGATGGACTGAACAGGGCTGTACAGAGCTGTACTGGGCAGGACTGATCTGGACTGGACTGGACAGGACTAGACTGGACAGAACTGGACTGAACTGGGCTGAGCTGGGCTGAACTGGACAGAACAGGGCTGGAACGGGCTGAACTGGGCAGAGCCAGGGCCATCTCCAAGGACAGCTCCCACCCTGGCTCCACCCTGTTTGACCTGTTGCCCTCTGGAAGG